GGGTTTTACTATTCTGGTCAGGCTGGTCTCGAACTCCTGACCTCAAGGTTTGCTGAATCCGGTTCCTGCTCAGCTTTTCCCTTCCACTAAATGCATCTGGAGTCCCAAAGCAAGTTAATTCCTTGACCGGGCGCGGTGACTCACGCCTGTCATCCCAGCACTTTGGGAGGCCGAGGCGGGCGGATCGCCTGAGGTCGGGAGTTCGAGACCAGCCTGACCAACATGAAGAGACCCCGTCTCTACTAAAAATAGCAAATTTAGCCAGGCAGGGTGATGGGTGCCCGTAATCCCAGCTACTCTGGAGGCTGAGGCAGGGGAATCGCTTGAACCCCGGGGGTCGAGGTTGCGGTGAGCCGGGATTGTGCCATTGGACTCCAGCCTGGGCAACAAGAGTAGGACTCTTTTTTTTTTTTTTTTTTTTTTTTTTTGAGACAGAATATTCCAGGCTAGAGTGCAATGGCGTGACCTCAGCGCTCACTGCAACCTCCACCTCCTGGGATCAAGCGATCCTCCTGCCTCAGCCTCCCGAGTAGCTTGGATTACAGGCGAATGCCACCATAACCAGCTAATTTTTGTATTTTTCGCAGAGATGGGGTTTTCTCATGTTGGCCAGGCTGGTCTCGAACTCCTGACCTCGTGATCCGCCCACCTCGGCCTCCCAAAGTGCTGGGATGAGAGGCGTGAGCCACGGCAGTCCCCCATTCCCCCCCCAAAAAAAGAAAAAAAAAAAGTTGATTTCCTTTTCCACGTCCGTCAGCGATTCACACCAGATGCATTCCTGTGGCTCTCTAGGGTCTGATGACGGGCAGACCAGCGCCGTGTACATTTACGTGCCCTTGGTCCTCGGGACCATGGTGTGTGCCCTGGTCCTCGGCTTCCTGTTTAAAAGGTAATCCCCGAAGCACCTCGGCATCCCCCAGACACACGTGCGGCGGCTGGGCGGGGGGGACGGCGCTTTCTCCAGAGGGTGTCTGTGTTTCTCACAAAGACAGCCTGGTCCTGTCACGCATCCGGTGACACGGACAACTTGCTTGGGATGCCACGTTTTTGCCGGACGTGAGATCCCCCTGCCCCCCACAAGGCTGAGCTGTGGGCACAGAGGCGATGCCTTCATGCCCTGTGTGTCTTCTGCTGTAGGGCAGGATGCTTCCTGGCTGTGTCACCTCCTGTGTCAGCCTCCGGAGTAGCTAGGATGACGTACGTGCACCGTCACACCTGGCTAATTTTTGTATTTTTGGTCGAGAAGGTGTTTGTCCATGTTGGTCAGGCTGGCCTGGAACTCCTGGCCCCAGGTGATGCGCCCGGCTCCTCTGCTGTGTCTAAAGATGACGCCTGTCATGGGATGTATGAGATGCGTGACGATCTCGTGTCAAAATCCTTGACTTAGTGACATTTGCGGAGGTCGTGTTTCTAATAAGGCCCCATTCACAAATTCGAGGCAATCGAAGCGGACGATAGTTGGATTCAAAACAATTGTATCATCTTCCCTCTGGAGCTTCCAGGGGAGGATGATTCCTGCCTGGCTCAGCTCCTGGGGGCGCCAGGTGTCCTGGGCTAGTGGCCCCATGACTGCAGTTCCAGCCGCTGCGTCCACGTGGCCTCTTGGTCTGCGTCTGTCTGTCTTCTGTCTCTCAGAAGGATGCCTGTCATTGGATTTAGGACTCACTGCAATCCAGGGTCATCTCACCTTGACATCCGTTAACTAATTACATTTTTTCCTTTTTTTTTTTTTTTTTTTTTTCCGGGTTGGAGTCTCACTCTGTCTCCCAGCGCGATCTCGGCTCACTGCGACCTCCGCCTCCCCGATTCAAGCGATCCTCCTGCCTCAGCCTCCCGAGTAGCTGGGTTGACACTCACCCGCCACCACACCCCGCTAAGTTTTTGCGTTTTTCGTAGAGACGGCGTTTCTCCATGTTGGCCAGGCTGGTCTCAAACTCCCAACGTGAGCTGATCCTCCCGCCCTCGGCCTCCCAAAGTGCTGGGATGACAGGCGTGAGCCGCCACGCCTGGCCAAGATTTTTATCACTTGGTGATCCTTGGTGATGTTGTTTTGGGTAGTTGAACTGAGCATCCTGAGGAAGGCAGTCTGGCGGCCTGGGGCTCCCTTCACGCTTTCCCTCTCTGTCCCTCAGATGTGTCCGGATGCAGCGACTCTTCCCCCCGGTTCCAAAAATCAAAGACAAACTCAACGATGAGAATCAGGTGGAGGACCAGGTAGGTAGGGGTGGGCGGAGCGGAGAGCTGGGGTGGAAAGCCGGGGAACCGGGAATGGGGACACGGGTTCTGAGTGTCAGCCGCCCTGCTTCTCCACCAGCTGGGACCTCAGCGTCACCACGGGCTGTGGCTGGAATCTGTATCCAGCTCCTGGGTCTTCCACCTGGGTTTGGGTCAGGGTGTAGTCAGGTCGTGGTCAGCGTTTTCTCTGTGAGCTCCATCAGGAGAAACTGAGGCGGGTGGGTGGTCAAGAAAAGGGGGAGAAGAAGGTAGAGCAGGCCGGGCGCGGTGGCACTTTGGGAGGCCGAGGTGGGCGGATCACCTGAGGTCAGGAGTTCAAGACCAGCCTGGCCAACATGGTGAAACCCCGTCTCTACTAAAAATACAAAATGAGCCGGGTGTGGTGACGCACGCCTGTCATCCCAGCTACGCGGGAGGCTGAGGCAGGAGAATTGCTTGAACCCGGGAGGCGGAGGTTGCGGTGAGCGGAGATCACGCCACGGCACTCCAGCCTGGTCAACAGAGTGAGACTCTGTGTCAAAATGAAAACAAAACAATCTCTTCTCCAGAAAACCTCAGCGTTTACCATTTAGACCTTTGATTAGATGAGGCCCAGCTTTTCCTCTTTAGAATCTTCAACTGATTAGAGGAGGCCCACCCTCCCCCTTAGGGCTTAGACTGATTAGATGAGGCCCACCCTCCCCCTTTGGGCCTTAGACTGATTAGATGAGGCCTGCCCTCCCCACTTAGACCTTAGACTGATTAGATGA